TTCTTTCTTTAAATTCAAATGATTAAAATAAAAATGATCATTCGTTTGAATGCACGTTTCTTGTTCAAACTCTTCCGTCATTTTAAACATAGATTTGTCATTGAAACTTTTTTTTTTTCCTTCCATTCGAAAGTATGCAGTAAGCTTGGAATTTACGTTAGACAAGTACACTGTAGAGGAATAGTGGATTAACTACGACACTCTTGAACCTTGACTTAGTTTCATTACATAATTTCTCGAACATATTTCTTTGTTATTCTATCACGAACCGTGCGAATGAATTAAATCAAACAAACATACATATGCGAAATGGCATGGATGAATACTTGTCTAAATTTCTGAATATTTCTTTAATTATGTAAAATCACCGTCGTTTCTATTAATTATCCAAATTTACTATCGTCGAACTTTGCATTTTTATAGATTGCTAAACTTGTCTAAAAAGAATTGTCTAGGAAAAAGTTTGTTTTTTTATTTATATGTATATCCATACTACGAAGGACCTATATGTATATATATTAATCGATATGTAGAAGAAATCGATAAGGAAGTTAAAAAGCAATGCAATTCTTATGAAACTTAATATGCATATGAAAATACAATGAAAGTACAAATTTTACAATTCTTTTTTTCTTTTGTTATTTTTAAGCTTGAATGAAAAATGGCTATATTCGATGGTATTATACCTTAAAATGGCTTCACTTTCTGATTGCTTTTGATGAGAATAGGTGGCTGCAAGTGAATATATTCCCAGACTATGACTAATTTATTTATAAGCTTCTCTACAGCCGGTGCATCAATCGTCGACATACCTACGTACATATATTTATCCATACCGTACCATGCACGTAATAATTACATCATTATGAGTCGGAAAACAAAAGATATGTTTTATTCAAAGAAACTATTTTTCTCTGATCATAGATTCTTTTATATAAACTTCCTCGCATTACGTTAAAATTTCATTCCTCTAAATTTCTCAGATCTTTAAAGATTTCCAAATTCGCCGATATTCCCCTCCGAGATTTGTCAATTAATCACCTCCTTAATTTCTCTGCAGTCTTTCTAAATTTCCAAATTTATCACTTTTCAACTACTCGAAATTCCCCAAGATTTCATTTTTTCCTGATGCTTCAATTCTCCAAATGTTTCAAACTATTCGAAATTTAATTCACTCCTGAGATTCTTCTTTCTGTATCATGAGAGCGTCGAATATAATAAATCTTTATGCGTGCTTTCTAGAGTGCCACGAAGACGTCGTAAAAGTAATTAAATTGTGTGCTCGATATGGATCTGTCTGTATCCCGTTCGGTGGTGGGACAAGCGTAAGCGGTGCTGCCTCGTGTCCAAAGAATGAACGACGAACGATAATATTGTTGGACACGTCGCAAATGAATAGAATACTGTGGATAGACAGAGAAAACTTAATTGCCTGTTGCGAGGCTGGTATTATCGGCCAGGACCTGGAAAAACAACTGCGACTTCAAGGTTTGACATCTGGCCACGAACCTGATTCTTACGAATTTTCTAGGTACACGATACTATATTAAGACAGAAAACTCGTTTCTTCTGTTCGCCGATATTTTCCCAGTATATTAACTGTTTGAAAACAAACACCGGGTTAATTTTACGACATTTTTACGCAATGTTAACATGTAATAAGAGTCGTCGTAGTAATAATTAACACGTTATAAAATTTATTTTTTGATCTTTTACTTGAGAGAG